GCCATGTATTTTCACTCACTTCATATGCAGGTGAAAGCTGGACAATGAATAAGAAAAACCAAAGAGGAATTGATGATGCCTTTGAATTATGGCTGGCAAAGAATATTGAAAATATCGTGGACTTCCAGAAGAACGAACAAATCTGTCCTGGAGGAAGTGCAGCCAGAATGCTCCTTGGAAGTGAGAATGGCCAGACTTTGTCTCACCTACTTTGGTCATGTGGACAGAAGGGCCCATTCCCTGGAGAAGGATATAATACTTAGTAAAGTGGAGGGTCAGCGAAGAAGGCAAAGACCCTCAACAAGGTGGACTGACACAGTGGAGGCAACAATGGGCTCAAGCCTAGCAAGGATTGTGAGGGTGGTGCACAACCAGGCAGTGTTTCATTCTGTGTACACGGGGTTGCTATGAACCGGAACCGACTCAACGGCACCTAACAACAATGCAATCGAGTGTTTCCTCATATGCTCTGTGAGACTTCTGTGACTTCGGTTTAGCCCCTGTGCCATTTGTCTGTTGTTTTTCTTCATCATCTTTTCATTTTTCTTTCTTCATCTTGACTCTTCGTCAAGAGTTCCATGCAAGAATTCACACCTTCCCAGAGCAAGTAGGAACCTTCTTGATGGTTTTTGATTTTGCATTTAAAGTCTGTCTGCCACCCAAGGTGTAATTAAGGTTGTGTGTCAGCTTGGCTGGGCCTGGTTGAGTGGCTGGGCAGCTGGAGGTAGTGATTCCCCACGATGAGACTGGCAATGGACTCCATGGTGGGATCTACCACAAGCAGCTGACTAGCTGCTTTAGGGATGTGGTCTGCTTCCTGTATATAAGCAGCAGCTTGGGGAATGGTCTCTACCTTATGGCACGCTTGAACCCTGCATGTTCAGCAGCCTGCCATGCTCTGTCAACCTTGGGATTTTCAGTGGACTTGAATTAGTGGCCTGCTGTGTTGTTTGGTAACATTGGGACTATACCACCTTACTTGTCAACCTTGGGCTTGTCAGTCTCAGCAGCCAGCAGCTGAGTGAAGAAAAGCTTCCAGGTTTAGTGAGCCAGGAGCAGGAGGCAAAGCTGAAGCCCAAGGTTTAGGGACTTTCACACAGCCCCTAGAGCCTGGCACTTGGCACTTGGACTTCTAGCCTTCAAAAATTATAAGAATAAACTCCTGTTTGTTAAAGCCATCCATTTGTGGTATATTTCTGTTAAAGTGGCACTAGGTAACCAAAACACAAGGGTTTACAAACTTTTTTCCCCAAAAATTTTCCACATTTAGGTCTTTCATCTGAAATTTAGTTGTACAAATGGCATGAAGGATGGTTTAATTCTTTTACCATTTCTTATTAAGGATGATAACCATTTAAAAGTATAAACCAACTTTATTCTTTTTTTTTTTTTTTTAAACTTTCTTACTAGTTAAGCTAAATTGTAGTTGGTTTTTGTTTACATTGTGATTTGGGTGAAAGTTTAGAGAGCCGTTTGGTTTTCCATTCAACAGTTCATACACTTCAAGAGTTGA